AGAAACCCTGGACTGAGAGGAGGTTGTAGTGGTGGGATGGATGGATGAGTGGGTTGCCAGCCAGCCCACTGGTTGAATTACTCCCCCATTTGTAAAATTCACTTGAAATCTCATCTGCTCTAGGAAGTTGTCTTTGATATTCCTCTGCTATGAGGAGTTTCTTTGTGGACCACAGGAACTAAACTAACTATTCCCTTCTCTTCTTTAAAAAAAAAAAAAAAAATCTTACTACTGAATGGCCTTGTCTCCTTTAGATTAGAGAGAGAGAGAGAGACCAGATCCTATTTGATACTCTCTTTCACAGGTTCTCACCCATGATGGGTCCTGAATAAACATATATTAAATTCAATTCTGTAGATTAACTTCTTTGAGGGTATCAGGCATGTTGGCTAAAAAGTCTCTTCAGAGGAATTAATCACAAGCAAAGAGGATGCAAAAGAAGTTGTCTTGTAATAGACCATGTATAATGTGGGATTTGCCCATTAACAATGCCTAGGAATCTCTAAATTAAATTATTCTGCATCTGTGATATTACCTTAAAACTACTGGCATATGCAAAGTTGCAGTAGGATTATAAGAGCTGTCTGCTTTTTCAAAATTAATTCGGTTTCCCTGATTTGTTTGTCTATGGGAATCATGTAGCACGTGATACCCACCATCTTTAAGCAATATGGTGTTTTCTTCCAAGACTTATGCACTTATTTTGAGAAAACGCCTTTATTTTCAGTTGAATTTGTGAATAACATACTGTTCTGGTGCTCTCATGTGTTTGTAGATCATATGCTTCATTCTTCCAATTAAAGATGGCAGAAACTCCTTTAGTTGCATTGGGGAACAACACTTAAGGATTTATCTGCATGATATCATCACTGTAACACAATTTCTGACTGGGATTAGTCTTTAAACGCATCAAAAGTGCTGCACAGGTTCATGAAATTTCTCTATCATGTTCAGGTGTTCTCCTTAGAAACTGACAATTTTCAAGATACCAAAATGATGTTTATCCAATATTCTATCTAAATAACACTGTAGTCCTCACCTCAGGAAAAGAATGGAGCCCCCACATAGTTCTAGCTTCCTTTAGTTACCTCTTGCTAATGTGATTCCTCTAAACCAAGGGTTGACATTATAAGATCCATGGCCAAATATGGCTTGCCCGCCCCTTTTTAAAATAAAAGTTGATTAGGACATAGCCATACCTACTGTTGTTTGTCTTGTCTAGAGCTGCTTAGGCATATAGCCCATCAAACTTTTAATTTGACCATCTGACGTGTTGCAGAAAATGTTTGCTGACCTGCTTTAAATCCTTTATGAACCTGCTTATATTTTCGGGAAACACGGAGTACTTTATCAATCTTGGAGGTCACCTGTGGTTGCCCTGGAACCCTTGCCTCACTATGGTTCCCAGGTTGGGCTGCATTGGGTGCTTCCCTCTGCCTCTTTATCTTCAAATTCTCCATCTGTACCTCCCACGGTACTACAGTTACCTGGTCCAGTGCCTCTCTCCTGGACTGGAAGGACAGGAGCAACTTCCTGTTCTCCGTTGCTCTTCCCAGAGCTTGGCACAGCCTCCACACTTACCTGGTGCCCCCTGTTCACTGAGTGAACAAATGAATTGCAATCCCTATTCAAACTATAAAGCAGCATTTTCATAGGTTTAGTTTATCAGAGACTCTGAATAATCTAGAAACCACTTCTTTCTATAATTTTTAATACATACATAAAAAGGGTTTTTCACAAAGATTTTTACCCTCATCATTATATCTCCTTTGTGCTCGTATGAAAACTCATTTACGTGAAAAACAAGTTTACATTTTTCCAGCTCACATCTGACATTGGTTCCAATTATGCTACATGTTAGGAATAGATCACTTTGAATTAAAAAAAAAAAAATCTTGCAGACCATCCCAACCTTGTGGAGATGGCTGAAAATAAATGGGTGTTGTCTCCATTTTGTCAGGGTCTTCGTGCTCAGAGGTAGCTGATAAGAAGGTCTGGTTCATAATGTATTCCCTCATTGCAGCAAAGCTTATTAAGTGTGGTGTTCCGGGCAGGCGTGAGCCAGCGGTAAACAAGGCAGTCTTCACTCTTGTGCAGCTGACATTCTCATTCAGGTAGGTAGCAGCCAACCCAGAAAACTGCCAGCTGGTGGCAAGGCCCCTGGCAGGATGGAAATCGGGTGACAAAAGAGAGAGTCACTGGGTAGCTGTTGGAACTGGTGGTCCTGGAATGCTCCTTGGAGGGGAGCCCTGGAATTAGAATCAGAATGATAAGAAAGAAGCAGCCAGGCGAAGATCATGGGGAATTGAATTGTAGGCAGAACAAACAGCTGGGACGAAGGTTCCCCCGATCTGGGAAGGAGTTGAATGTGTTAGACGAACAGAAGAAAGGCAGATGTGGCAAATGTATAGTGCAGAGCGGAGCAATGGGGGAAGAAAAGCAGCAGGAAGTAGGGTAGGCAGCAGTAGGGACGTAGCCTGGGTTTGGGGTTAGGGCATAGGCTCTTTTCTGCTCTGGTTTCAGAGGAACTAAGGGATGATGGTTGGTCCTGACTTCCTGATGCCATTTAGTACCTAGAATGGCCTGGGGAATCTGCTGTTGGTCAGGTCAGTGACTCACACAGTAGCCAGGAGCTCCAGAGCCCCACCCACCCTGTGTAAATCCAGACCCATCTACTTCCCTGTGGACTCCTCTGAAGCCTACCCTTGTGTCCACTGCCGGGTCAAGATGCTTATTTGTCCGTCCGCTGGGTCCCAGTAGCACAAAGACAATGATTACCTACATGAACACCTGCCTGAGTAAGCACCTTTAAAACTGAACCCTGTTTCATCCTGTCATTCACATGGAGACATGTTTGTTGCAGGCAGATAAGAAGCTTTCTTAATAAAGGATTAGATTTCAGGAAATATACATGTCAGGGCAACATGACCTAAATGGGCTGGTGAAAAATATTCACCTAAAAGAGAATGCATTTAGCCTGCCCAACTGCTTTTTGACATTGTTGTTATTAGTGTTATTAACCTTCAATTAAAATAATTAATGTATATCACGTAGACGACCCTGCCCTTGTGTGTACACGGGATGAAACAGCTGACAGATTCAACCATTTTAATTCACTTCCGTAAATGTTTTGATTCATTAAACATTGGGTCAAGCCAATCCTTAGCATCAGACAAGAAGAATGAACTGATAATAAAACATTTTTATGACATTGGGACGAAAAAAAATTTTCAGATGTCATTGATATTACTGAAGTTACATCAGGTACAAAGAATTTCAGATTCAGTCCAATAATTCTTACAGTGAGCCGTTGTTTAAATAAAATGTCCTTCCTTCCCCACCTGGTTGCCGTGTTTAGGCACAGCTCACCACGGCAATTGTGGGTACTGTTGGAAGCCTGCAAAGTTGTCATGTTGTTGTGGTTTGGTGAAGTCAGGCCCTAAGGGAGGGTGTGGGGAGGAGGAAGGAGAAGGAGGTGCTGGAAGGAGGATGATGGGAAAAAGGTCTCTTTTAACAAAGAAAAGGCAACTCAGTGGGAGTGGAGGCTGGCAATCTGCTAAAAGGAAATGAAAGGAAATTCTTCATTTCTAAACGGTTCATTGACCCATGATAATAAAGCAGTCCTGCCAAAGAAGGATAATTATCTTTTTAAGTATCTGATGCCCTGTGGGTGAAGGCTTCCCTTCTCCTCTCTTGAAAAATGAACTCAGATTAAACAAATGCCCCTTTTCCTAGTTTACCGTTGACATGAATTTCCTGATTATGAGCAAAATTAGTCAGTTTTTCCTCTCTCCGCCCCCCCTCCCTCTTCTCTTATGGAACTTAGGCCCACCCAGCTGAGCTCAGTGCATTTCCCTTTGGGCTCTGAGTCCTACCAGTATGATGGGCCACAGTGCTTGATATTCTGGTGAGACTAGCAGTCCTAGAATTGGGGTTTTATTATGCCCCTTAGCTGCTTAGCTTCAGGCAAAGCACACTCTTATAAAACAACAAGAAACAGGAAAAAAAGAAACAGAAAAGAGCATTAGAACACTTTTTTTCCTCTGCTGGTACCTGAAAACTAAACAAAAATTACTATATCTGTCTGTGTATATTTGTGTGTATGAATATGTGTGTATATGTATACACACACACACACACACACACACACATATGCCTGATTGTATGCATGTAGCCACACGTATGTGAGGAGTTCAAATACAAAGACAACTGAAATGTTATTGATGCTGTAACATTGAATACTGATTTGCCACCAACGTGTGATCAAACTCATCTTCTTTTTCTTTAGATCTTGTTTGTTCAGGCCAATAGCGTAACTACGGTGACTTGTCTTAAGATGGTTTTGTTTGCCTAAGTAAAAAAAACACAAAACAAAAATCCCTGTTTTCTTAAGTCAATGATTTACCTTTAGCTGGCTTTCTGAATTCTTAATAATCAACTTGAGGAACACTTGTCATAAATTGCTTAACCACGTGGCACATCTCTTATCAGAAATGAAGGGCATGGTACATTTTCAGAATGTCAACACTCCTTTTAAACATAAATAAAACATCTCCTATAGTATTTTTATTACATTTTTCTCTAAAGAGATATTGAAATTAAAATTTTAATCATGGATATTCTGCTTGCTTTTCCAACCCAGTGCCTTTAGCTGCTGGAGAAGACAGAGCTTTCGAATTGGGGTCAGGAGATAATGGTCCAGAATAGATTTTGCCTCTTGGCATAATTATTTCAGCCAGTACTTGAGTCTCTCTGAACATTAATGTCCCTTTCCCTTAAAAGAATTTCTTCAGTGCACCATCCAAATATAATTAACCATGTTTATAAGCTCTTTTTGAACTTCTTGGAGTTTGGTGGTTGATAAATATTTGTTCTTTTATTCCTTAGTCTTTGAGAGGTAAGGCCCTGGGCCAAGGGGATTCAGTACTTAGGGGTATAAATTTCTTGGTAAAAATACTACCCAAAGCAAGCGAAGTGTGCCTTAACAGAACTCACCACAGATGTCCTCGTGTGTCCCCTTCGGCCGGTGGAGCGTTTCCGAGACCTGCATCCCGATGAGGTGGCGGATTTGTTTCAGGCGACCCAGAGGGTCGGGATGGTGGTGGAGAAGCATTTCCAGGGGACTTCTCTCACATTTTCCATTCAGGTGAGTGTACGGATAGCTCAGAAGTTATTTTTCTTCCTTTTCACCCCCTAGCATTGGGCGCTCTCTCTTTTAAGCGGCATCTCACTGGTAAGGTGAGTTGTTCATGTCTTATACAGTAGCAGAAAAAGGTATATATAATCCAGGACCGCCCTACTATCCCAAGGTGGACTGTAAACTGTCAGCTGAGACACTGTCTACGGCATTGTTTACGAAGCAGGTGGGAATAATAGAAACGTGATTTCATGGGCAATAAGACATTCCAGATCTTCTCCCAGAACTGGGGCTGGGCAAGTCATTTTTACTGCATGGTAAATACGTCTTGAGTACTGCATGGGCCTAGCCCTCTTCTACTTTAGGATAGTAGAAACTGCCCTCAGAGGGTTCCTTTTCTCTTTAACTCAAGCCCCAGTGATCGATTATGGATTGGTATGAAGCTGGATTGATTGGATATTCTGTGTGGCCTGCTTCCCAGGAAGAAAATGAGACCCCCTCCGCCCCCAGATCATTGGAGATTTTTAGGGAGAGGTTGAACAAAGTGTGAGAGGAGGAGGTTGTGGTGAGTCATCAGTTGTGGGAATTGAGTAAATCAATAGAACATATCTTATGCCCTTTCGGATTTCCCATGGGAAGAGTGGGGGGTATCAATACCTAATTATTAAAGTACTCAACAGCCTTGAAATCGGATGACTCTGCAGGGACCCTTTGGAAAGAATTGGCTTCTTCCATCATGTGATACCTTTCCCTAGGTGGTTTAGTTATGCAGAATACTTGCCATCCTCCTCCTACCCCTCTCATCTCCCCACCACAGACCTTCAAAGACAACAGATAAAGAAGGCCACTATTTCCAGGTTATGAAAGGCTTGGACTAAAACTGCTGTTAAACACTTCTTAGAGGTGCCTGGGTGGCTCAGTGGGTTAAAGCCTCTGCCTTGGGCTTAGGTCATGATCTCAGGGTCCTGGGATCGAGCCCCACATCTGGCTCTCTGCTCAGCAGGGAGCCTGCTTCCCCACCTCTCTCTCTCCCTTCCTCTCTGCCTACTTGTGATCTCTGTCTGTCAAGTAAATAAATAAAATCTTTTAAAAAAACCAAACAAACAAAAAAAACACTTTAAAAAATTTTTTTTGCTGCCCTGTCTGTGTTGAGAGTAAACTTCCCTTTAAAGTGTGTGTGTGTGTGTGTGTGTGTTGTATGTCAAACCATTTGAGTCACCTTCAGGCAGGTAATTAATCTCAGGGTCGGTTTATAGCTTATAATAATATATATATAAGCTTATAATCAAGCTTATGCAATAAATCATGTTTCCAGAGAAGGAAGGAAATGGAAGGCAAGTGGCTGAAGACATCTGTCAGTGTTAAATGAAATGCTAGAAGAAAATTCACATTCACTGGAAATAGCCAGGGCTAGTTATCTAACATGATTTACTAGAAAGTGAATCTCATAAACATAGAACTAACTTGTGCATAACACTTGGAGTACTTTCATATATGCCATGTTTTCAAACCTTTTAAAGCTTTAAACCACACTAGGATATTTATTCCACAACAGTGTGACCCTCCCTTCCCATGGATACATATATAGACAAAGGAAACCAGAGTTTTACAAAATAGCATTTACCCTTTCAGTGCACTCTAATCGTTTTTGTTGTATTATCTGATTTGTTTTTAGTGCTGATCACAACCCATTAAGCTGACTTCATGACCCACTAATGGGCCGTGACTTCAAGTTTGAAAACCACTGATGCAGAGTTCTACTTCATCTTGGCCACAGCAGGGCAAACATGCTTACCCATTAGTCTGGGTTGCAGAGGTAGAAAGACTTGCTAAAAGTTGCAGGGTTCTATTTTAGTTTTACAGTTTTTGACTGTAGGCAGTGCTTGGTATCTCAAACCCACTAAACACTTGCTTTTGCTTTGTATTATGATGATGACTGGGCAAGTTAGCTTATTTTCAGCTAAACCAATAGTTTTGTTGGGTTTTAAAAAGCTAAGAGGAGGAACCAGGATGGGAAAAAGGCCCAGCAACAATGAATGCTCCTCTATCTCCCCTCCTAAGGTCAGGACAGTCAGAGAGGGCCTACTCTTGGGTGATCTTCTCATATAAGACAACCCATTTCCTGCTTAATGGATTATGTTTACAGCAGGGTTTTTTGTTTGTTTGTTTTGGTTTTGGGTTTGTTTTTTTGTGTTTTTTTTTTTTGAGTAGAGATCTCTAGTAATCAGACATTAATTAAACTACATCTGATTTAAAGATAACCAAAAGTTGTGATAATTTACCTCCCCAAACATTTCCAACCTTCTTTAATGCAATTAAAACCATAGCCAAGAGCAAAGAGCATGGAAAGTGGCAAGAGGGTTGGCTCACTGGATAATTTATATCATTTTTATACATAACTTCTCACTTACTCTCAGTCGGAAATGGAGAACTGTCTGGTCCCACACATTTGAGGTGAATGGTCCCCATGAGAATACTATAAATTAACACACAATGAAATTGGTTCTAAATTATTAACAGGAGATAGTTCTGAATAAGCAGGAGATACCATCTATCTAGTATCACCCTGTTATTTATCTATTTTTTTTTTCCCTTCTTCCAGGATGGGCCTGAAGCTGGACAGACTGTGAAGGTGAGTGCTTATTACATGCATACAAATTAATAAGGGGCAATTATGAGAACTAATAAAAATCACACTGAGCCATTTGCAGCACATTGCTGGTTCATTATGTTATCTTCGAGGTCAGAGAGACCCTCACTCAGTGTTAGAGCCATAAATCCTGACATTATAAACTATGCCAAGCAATATGTTTCCCATTAGTTTACAAGACATTTACCTTTTGTAGTAAAGTTAGCATTGCGGAAATGCTAAAACAGAAGCTAAATCAAGAAGTCCAAAAACAGAGACTGAAGTCAAAGGAGTTCGGGTGAGGTCATGTGCAGGGTACAAGTGAGCCCTGTGTGGACTGGCGGGTCCCATGTGAAGCTGGGATGTCTGTGTTTGTCACACACCCTCTTTCTGCCTTGTTGTTCTTGAGCACCGGGCGACAGGAGGTGCTAGCCCACACTTCTCCTTTGTTCCACGCCCTGCCTCTCTTTCTTCTCTTTCTCTCCACCCACATACCTATAATTTTCCTCCCTTTGTACCTCATACCCAGGTTCTAACCTAATGGAGTCAGTGGAGCTCAAAGATGGGTTTTTAACTGTGCTGAAAGAGGAAAGGAGGATTTATTGGGATACTCTCTGCTTCCCTAGTAAAATAAAATAAAATAAAATAAAATAAAATAAAATAAAATAATAAAATCTTGGCTGATTCTGAAGCTGGGTTTCAGTCCCCTTCATACAAATGCAAATTCCTCTGCAGTTATGTCCTACACCTAAATCATAGAAAAGGCTATTTTTTTTTTTCCAGTGCTAGAAATCAGAAGGAAGTCAAACCAGGGTGCTAATGTGATACTTTGCAAATTACGGTTTTAGGACTTTGAGACTGGCTGTGAGTGGCTAAGGAAATGCTTGGCTCCAAACAGTTCCCCCCAAAAATAGTCCTTTTTTGGGGCACCTGGGTGGTTCAGTGGGTTGTCTCTGCCTTCGGTTCAGGTCATGATCCCAGGGTCCTCGGATTGATCCCCGCATCGGGCTCTCTGCTCACCAGGGAGCCTGCTTCCCCCTCTCTCTGCCTGCCTCTCTGCCTACTTGTGATCGCTGTTTGTCAAATAAATAAATAAAATCTTTAAAAAAATAGTCTTTTCTTGGGGCGCCTGGGTGGCTCAGTGGGTTAGGCCGCTGCCTTCGGCTCAGGTCATGATCTCAGGGTCCTGGGATCGAGTCCCTCATCGGGCTCTTTGCTCAGCAGGGAGCCTGCTTCCCTCTCTCTCTCTCTCTCTCTGCCTGCCTTTCCATCTGCTTGTGATCTCTCTCTGTCAAATAAATAAATAAAATCTTTAAAAAAAATAGTCTTTTCTTGATATTAGTTTGCATATGGTTTTAATGTTTAACAGAGCTACTATGGGACTTTTAAAATAGAATCTCTGGGAAGTACTTCAGAGGAACAAATGCCCTATAGGATCTGCCATCAAATTCTTTGTGATAAAAAAGAGCTAGCCTCCTGATTGCTCCAGACATATGATGTCATAGGGACAGAGGGGACGCAAAGCTTCCCTCCAACCCACTGTCTACCCTCCATGCCAGGCTTCCAAACATGTAGCCACTAAAAAGAATATAATATGTGTAGCTTCTTTTTGAAATTGTTTCTTGAAATACAAAACACAATGTTTAAACCTGGTTGCTAGTTTTTTAAAAACTCCGTATGCTGGGTGTTTGAGTAGCTCAGTCAGTTAAGAGTCTGCCTTTGGCTCCGGTCATGATCTCAGGGTCTTAGGATCAAGTCCTACGTTGGGCTCCATGCTCAGCAGGGAGTCTGCTTCTCCCTCTCCCTCCTCCCTACTCATGCTCTCTCTCAAAAATAAATAAATAAAACCTTAAAAAAACAAACAAACCCTCAATAGGTTGATGTAGATTCCAACAACACTAGAGTTAGTTAGATGCTGTGTGCACTATCTAGTTTGACAGAATACTTTCAGCGGTTGGAAGTCCAGCTGTAGAAGCATAGCTAATAATGTGGGAGAATGCACAGACTGATATGATGTACATATTAAACATCTCATAAAACTTATATGAATATATATGTAATATCTCAAAATTTCACTTGGAAATTCTGAAGGGGGCATTAAAATTACGTCCTATACAAGCAGGCATCGAATAGAGACAAAAAGTCAGTGAGCGTTTGCCAGGGGCTGGAGGAAGGAAGGCGTGGGGAGTGACAGCTCAGGAGTCCGGGTCTCTTTTCTAAGTTGACAAAAATGTTGTGGAATTTGATAGTGGTGATGTTCTTGCAATGTAGCGAATATTCTACAACCCAGTGCATCGTACTTTTTAACATGGATGATTTTATCGTATTTGAACTCTACCTCAATTAAAAAGAATAATAAAATACAGTTAAAAAAATAGCTCTGCTATTTTACTGTGTGACTTTGGGCAGGACTCTTAACCTCTCTGGACATCTATGCCTCCATTTTTCAAATGGAGGGAATCGTCTATTGTATGGAGTGATGTGAGGAGAAACCAACATGAATAAATAGCCCAGCCCACCACATACTGCCCCTGGGACCTTGTGCATGACTCTTAATATTAACCTTATCCTCAGTTTTCTCATCTGGAAAATAGGCAAAGACTGCATGTAAAGAGAATATACTTGGCATTGAGATTATCTGTGGCTCTGATAAGTTCACAACTACACTCTGAATTCTGACACTGTTAACTTTTGCCATTTTGCTTAAATTCTTGAGAAACTTTCTTCTGATCATATGACTTGTGTTTTTGAATATCGACTTTGAATTTATTATAAAAGTGACCAGTTGAATATTCAGAACCTACCTTATTAAATGGGAGAAAAAAAAATCTTTACCCTGATGTTTTTTTAGCCTCTGCTGTACCCCTCAGTAATAGGTTAACTCATGATTCTAAACCAACAGTATGCTTCAGTTACTTGATGTAGGTTTTCACAAAGCAGAAATCTGCCTGCCCCCTGATGCTGATTCAGTAGGTCTGGCATGGGACCTAGGACTCTCTGCATTTTAATAGACACTGTAAGTGATTCCCAGGCATACCTTGTCTAGTGCATAGCATCGAACTGATGAGAAGATAGAGAGGAATCTCCATATAACTCCTTGCTTTCAAGACAAATGAATTCCTTTTTTTTTTTTTTTTAAGATTTTATTTATTTATTTGAGAGAGAGAAAACCCAAGTAGGGTAAGGGTCAGAGGGAGAAGCAGACTCCCGGCTGAGCAGTGAGCCCGATGTGGGACTCTATCCTGAGAGTCTAGGATCATGACCTGAGCCAAAGGCAGACGGGTAACAATTGAGCCACCCAGGCACCCCATCACCCCAAATGAATTCCTAAAATTTGGTGCACACAGAATGGAGAAACAGATACCTTGAGAATGAAAATGATTTTACGTGACTGTTATTTATTATTTTCATCTGTAAAGAAATTTCACGAAAGCTGTAATTTGCCAGAGAACTTTAATCCTCTGATTCAAGCCGTGACAAAAAGTGCCTCTCTTGTGTTTATATCTCATGCCTGCATTACTGCCAGAAGAATTAGTATTTTAAGGACATAGTAGCTTTTATCTTGTGGAACTGCCTGAGAATTTATATCTCTTCTCTCACAGTGAATCCAGTTTGCCTGAATTTGGTAACCCAATACCGATTTTGGTGCTCAGAGGATGGGTTTAGGTGTACATGTGGGAGCAGACACCTCCAAACCTGCCCCTCCCTTCTAACATGTATGTGTGTCTGACTCTCCTTCCCCTTCTGGTGATCTGGGGACACAACCTCAGGTGCCTGGCTCTCCAGGCAGGAGGAAGGAACCATGACCCTGCCTGTCTCCTGTTGGAAACTTTCTCTTTCCTATTAAACCTCCAGCCTTCTTCTAAGTAGGTTATCAAATCATTTTGTTTTTCCATTTCTAAAGAGTTGATTTTGATTTGCATGATGTCATGCAAAGCCCTGAAAGAAAAATTACCCAAGCCCCCTGGTGTTTTCTGGTTACTCTTTATTTATTTATTTTTCTCTGTTCTTTCAATGTCACAGGCAGCTTCTGTAGATGGGATGGGGGATGCTGGAAATGGAGTGAGGACGGAGGGGAAATGTCATCAGGATTCCACCTACTGACAAAGAGGGAGGACTCTGGAACCAGATGGCCTGGTTTCAGTTACAGAGCTTCCCTTACCAGTCAGTCATACTACCCAGCAGAAGTCAACCTCTCTTAGCCCCACCATTCATTTATAGACTGTTAAAGTGAGAGCCTCAGTGATACCCTACCTCCTAGGGGTGTTGTGGAGACCAAAGGGATTAATGCATATAAATGCCTTTAAAACAGCCCTTGGCAGGCAGTACATCTGAGTATTTGCTTTAGTTTTATAATTTTCACTTAATCCTCCAAACCCATAACAGTGGGCATTGGTATTTTACACTTGAGGAAACCACGGTGTATGGAGGTAGAGTAACGTATCAAACCACATGCGGCTGACTGATGGTAGAGCAGAGATTCAAACCTAGGCCTGTCTGAGAGCCCCGCTCCATTGTATCATGTGGCCAGCTAGTCCTAGAAAACGCGTTGCCCCCAGTAAGCACAGGGGAAGATGCTCAAGGAGAGACTTTGTAAATATTTTGTCACCCTCAACACAGATTAATCTGTATTATTTTGCTTTGCTTAGGATAACATTGCCTTCTCCCTAAAAAAATACCCAGAGGATTCTCTCTGTCTAACTTTATTATACAGGTGAGGGTTAACTCAACTAAATGCTGCTTTATTGCTGTGCATCAGTTCGTAGCAGAATGATACGTTTTAGATGTTCAGTTTTTCATTAGCTCTACCAAACAAATTTCTTTATTAATTGGAGGACCTGACATAAGCAAAGTGGATATTTGGCTGTTAAATTTATTTTGAGATACGTAACACAGAAATATGGCCAATGTTGAAGATAGATTCTCGGTGCCAATGTTTTATAGATTTCAGCAGGCTGTCTTTTACAACTGATGTTCAGTCAGGGGGTTTTATTCAATCACTT